CCCAGCTTAAGTTTTCTACAGCCTGGCATTCCTGTCGTAGTTCAGCCTTTGGTTGCTAATTCAGCCAGTTACCCTGAGGCTACTCCAGATAAGCTTCTAGAATTAACATTTCTTACATGAAACAAACATTGGAAGTAAGGTGATCCTAATCTAACTCAAATTCAAGACACGCCATGTTGGCAACCTTCAAGAGCTCAGCGCTGAACACACAGCAGCAGCAGCCCGTCACCACCACGTCACTGCTCTCTACGTTCAACGGGGGATGCTGCCCACAACTCCCACCCCACGAACCCAACGTCACAATACAGCGCACAGGTCTCGCTCCGTAATGACAATTATGGTCTTCTTTCCAGAGAAGTAAGTCAGAGAAATATTATGCAGTCACACCACACATTGAAACTTCCCTTTTTAACAGGAATACCAACTCAGTACTTATGTCAACCGCTAAACATGCAGTACCAAACAAAGCTAGAAACAAATGTTTCAGCAGACATAATTAACCACTGGGGCAGAAGTTTCTATCACTTAGAGGGCAAAGACTTTTCTAAAACACGTAACAGAACTGACCCACACGTTATTAGGCTCCGTACAGCAACTTCTATGCCAGAGGCCAGATGAGCGGATCACAACACCACCTTCTGATCTTACCATCTATGAAATAAAAGCAATGTGAGCCTTGACAATCAACAAAGTTACACCCAACCCTTCCCATCACGGAGGATCCCTGTAAATGTCTCTGAAGAGTTCTTAGGGCTCTGCGGTTTTGGAAAGGAAATGAGACATTTGGCAGGGCTGCTGCCGAAGGGATAACCTTTTCCTGGCCCTGTGAAGCCCTTCACAGGTTTGACTGAGTTACGAGGCATTGCAAATGGCTATTTTCTGTTTGCTTTTCATACAACCCAGCTTGGTTTGGCTTACTGCCCAAACCCCTCCATATTCTCATGTAAGCCCTGGCGCAGTCTCCTGCGAGCAACACACACTCAACAGGCATCCCCATGTGGGATCCAAAATGGATCCCGCTCCTCCTCCTCCTCCCTAGCTCCAAGTAATTCTCCTTGCCGAAGGTGGACTGTCCTGTACAGGCAGCCAGGAGATCGCAGGCTCCAGTTCGTCTCCCACCAAAGGATGCAGATGAACTCTCTCCGTCCCAGGCTGCAGTGTGGAGCAACTCCTCACAGGTAACAAAACCAGAATCAAGCCCATCTCAAGTGAGATGCACTGAAGTTTTACCCACTTCACTATACACCCTCAGTGTCTCTTAGAAAGTTTGGTCAATGTTTGTCCTTGGCTCAGGATAGTGTTTACATACTAGATTGAGGAAATATAATAAATCAACTTTCCTAGACGGCAAAAGAAGCAGAGGAAACAGGAACAGAACCAAGTTGCCTGGGATGGTGTCTGGGGGCTTGGCCAGGACCATAAATGACAAACGAGCCACGTGCCCCACAGGCTTGCACAGGCCTGTAGCTTTGCGCAGGTACACCCATCCCATGTCCCAACAGCAGGCAGGCGACTTCCAGAGAGGCAGGGCAGTCTGGGAGGTGCCCCCGAGTCCACCGAGGCTGAAGGGTTTTGTCACTTCGGCTGGTGCTCAATGGCACAGCAGGCTCCAGGACGGGCAGCCCGAGTCTGGGGCTCCAGCCTGCTTGAGAAGGTTAAATGCCAGCTGAGGTCCAGCTAGTCCTCCCCAGGGCCAGCGACAAGGAGAGCTGAAGGCTCTCAGTATCCACGCCACTTACGAAAGAGAGCTAACACCACCATTACTTTAGCTGTGTTTCTTTAGCTAGCAGACATTTAATGCCTGAGCCAGCCGAGATTAGCTGCGGGTACTCAGTCGTCAATAGTCACCACAGTATCTTCCCTTTTATGTTACTCCTCTCTTGGGGAAAAAAAAAGACAAAAAACCAACAACATCTACTTGGTTTTATTATCTGCTACTCCCAATCTTCTCCGACTGTAATGTCCCAGTAATCTCAGGTGGATTCAGACCTGGTCCAAGCAGGAGGGGAGATGCAGCAGGCACAACATGACCATGGTACCTGACAGGAGCCCACCCCGAGCCAGTGACGGTTTGGGGGTGGAGGGGAGTAGCACTGATGTAGGCTCCTCTCTCCACCAAGGCTCTACCTAGGCACTGCCCTGGAGATCACAGACCAGTTGGAGGCACTATGCGCAAAGATGTCAAGATAGGTGGCCGGATCATTCAGTCTCAAAGAAGAAATGGATGAAAAGCCACCCATCAGGATCACAAATGCTGCAAGAAGAAGCAATTTGACAGCATCTGTACTTTTAAACAAAATGGGACAGCGTCTGTTCTCTGGTCCTGGGGGTGACTGACATTATACATCTTGCACTCGGATGGCAAAATTCTCCTGCCCAAAAGGGCATGGACACATCTAACTTAGCCACTGGGAATAAGCATGGTCCTACGCCAACCCCTACATCGCACTCGGGCATCATGCGGGAGAGCACTCGCTGGCCCAGGCCGAAGACCAGACAAAGGAACACCACGGCAATGGACAGCCAGCGCGGCACACCAGTGTTGTTGCTACACACACAGCCAGCGCCATCTTCCACTAGATGCCAGTCCACAGAAAATAAGTTTGGAGCAAGGAGTCAGTTCCTCCTTCACCCTAAGCACAGATGCTCTGAAGTCCAACCCTCTTGTTTGCTGCAGCTGGGAACTGCTGAAAGCACGCAGTGACTACTCCTCAAGTCTTTTTTTTTTAAATGTAGGAAGTACTTCCAAACTCCTGTGAAATCAAAGGCATTTGGCTTGCACAGGCAGGGATTTAGAAGTCAGAAGACGCAGGAATTAAACTAAGTCTCCTTCTCTGCAATTTATTATCTCTGTGTTCCCGTCCCGGTTTTTCTCTTCCCGCTTCTGCGAAGGGACAAGTCAGCACCGGAGGGAGGAACCAGGCTGACGAACAAACACGGCTGCTTTCTTTGCAGATGCTGGGAAGTGTCCTGAAAGCAAGATGGGATGATAAGCAATGGATCCCTCTTGACAGGTGAAGACTGCTCACAAGGGAGTGCCCACTGGAGCAGCACAGCCAGAGGGCACACACCACGGGGGGGGTCAGAAGTTGGCATATATATACATATATACACACACTGCCCAGTGAACAACGGTCCCAGGCATCTTTAATTGTTGTCTCCATCTCCCTCATTTTATACAATGAAGAGAAAATTCCCAGAAA